CTCAACTGTCCTTCTGGGCATCGTGGAACTCAGACGGGCAAGTTGCTCTAACTAAACACAAGTGTTACCTGTCTGATGTCAACTCCTTGTATCACATCTGGCAACAGCTCTTCATCTGCACAAAGCAGCATGTACTCAAAATACACTCATTCACCTATTTTCTCACTTTTTATCGTCTCTTCCACCACTACATTTTGGTCAGAAACATCTGGCTCCTGTGTTTATACAAACTTGATGGAATAAACACAGTATTTAAAATCCAAGTTTTCATTTTTGTTATAACCCCAGATATTCTCATGCAAAAACTAGGAGTTGGGTTTGTTCACCAAGTTCGGCAGGAGTATTTCAAATTCCTAACTTAATTCCGCTTTTACATTCATTTTCCCTCACAGCCTCACACAGCACAAGCAGAGCTCGTAGGAAGATTGCAGAGGCTTAATTTTACAGATACTTTCCCGGGTCACAGCTCAGGAAGGGGCGTCTGACCTTCTCCCCCGCCTGCAGCCCAGACGTGCCCTGGGCAGCCGTCCCAGTGAGACTGCACAGCTCCGTGCCACTTGCTCTCTAGCTGGCCATTTGTGCATAATCCTGCAGTGCGCTGAGCAGCGATCCTGTCCGGCGACTGAAAAGGCGAGTGGCTGGCGCCAGAGCCCTTCTAATACAGATATTGCAAGAGTACAATTTCCTTGAAAGTAACCTGAGTGTCAAATCCAGATGCCAACCCGACACGCTCCCCGCGCACCTGCTGTCTAGGCACAGGTGCAATGCCTTGTAACACAGACTATAGGTGGGCACCCGGCTCCCACTCTGGTCCTCTCCAGTTCTCATCAGCAGGCGGGGAGACCTCTCATGTGACCCAGATCCTGTCACTCCAGGCCCCAAACCCCAGGCATCCTTAGACTGAACTCTGAAGTCTTCATGAGACTGGAGACGCCCCACGATTCCCGTGCCTCCCCTGCAGCTGTCCCCTGGTCTTGCCCTACCTCACAAACTGAGCTTGGAACACATCCTCCGGGGTCCTGCAGCATGAGTGCCCCTCACTCCTGGAGCCTTCTGCTCTTGTCACCACCGCAGGACCTCGCTGCCACCACCACAGCCAAAGCAGGAGCCCCATGGCTTTCCATCCCCTCCCCTCACTCTGCGAGAGCACAACTTGCTAGCTTCTTTAGGTCTCCCGCGTTAGAAGTGAGGGCCCTGAGAAAAAGGCTGTGATCTTCTCTACTCCAGGACCCGTGTGCAGATCTCTATCCGGAACAAGGAGGCACACAATGGATACTGGTGTGTGAACAAATGTGTCGGATCTTTTAGTGAAGTAAGTTAGTCTCCTTCATAACTTCACAGGCAAGGCCAATATCCAGATGATTCCTTTTGCATGAGAATATGGCAAAGGCATTCATTCCTCACAGAGCTAAACACAGAAAAATTATCCGTTGCAACAATCCCATTCCTAGGTACAGAACAAGAAGAATTACAAGCAAGACTCGAACAAACACCTGCAACTCGGTATTTATACAGGTATCATTCACAGTGGCCACAAGGCAAAAGCGGTGCAAAAGTCACCATACATAACGGACAAGCAAAACACAGCATATGCACGTTAACGTAACTCTGTCCTGAAAGGAAATCAAATCCAGACTCGTGCTATGACTTGGATGGATGCGGAAGGCATGAAGGACGTGAAATACGCCAGATACACAAAGGGACAAATGCTGCACCACGCCCCTGAGATGAGGCGTTTGGCACGGGCAAACTCACAAGTACGGAAACGAGGATTCAAGTTCCCAGAGGCTGGGGAGGGCGGGAATGAGCGTCACTGTTTCATGGCGACAGCTTCTCTTGGAATAACAAACGTGTATGAAAAGAAAATGGTAAATGGTGCAGCGTTACTCTGTCTGCCTTGATTTTATGAAATTAGATTATTTATCCTGAGATGGTTTTATTAGATGAATCAGCACTTGTAAGAGTCCTTTACCATCTGTTTAACTTAATATTCTACCAAAATTTCTGATTTAGCATTCTTCATTGGTTTTATAAAAATGAATTCTGATAATTAGGTACATAAGCCAAGGATGCCTTATTTATTATGCAAGGCAGAGAAAATACGTCAATACTGAATTCTTATTTTTCCCCATGTCATTTGTGAGTATTACTCTAAGTTTTTACCCGTATATTACTTCTGTTCCCTGAAGATTAAAAAAAAATCACTTCTACAAATGTTTGTCAAAATTGGGAGCACTTTAACAAATAGCTCTCAAATATAGTACCTTCTAACATGTCATTAAATATTCTCCTTTGAATATAATTTGGGCCTTTTCAGTTACATCAGGAGATTCACTAATATATTTCCATAAATTACAATAAATAATGTCCTGTTCAACTTATGGGGGTTTTCAGCTAATGTGTGATGTGACTGATTCAAGTCAGGCTCTTTGTTCTTCCCTGGGCTCCCTGGCTCTTCCTGCCAGCCATACCTGTTAGGGACAGAGCCTGTTCCACCAGGGTCTTTGAAAGGATTTCAAGCTCTGCGTTTGGTGGTCATTGTGGATGGGAAGGAGGTTGGGAGAGGGACTTGAAAGCCCAATCTGCCACTGTGCGGGACTGCGTCACCTGTGTAACCATCATAACAGTTAAAAAAGCACTTGCACCAGTGGGGAACCAAAAGAGAGGACTTGAATGAAGATCCCCACCGTTTTGCAAAGCCCACTACCCCATCTCTGATGGTGGGAGCAAGATTTCAGATGGTACAAGGGCAAACATTTGTTTAATTGTCCACGTTGTTGAACTTGTGGCGGGTGACACTAACTTCACGTCAGTGATAACAACAACAGTTCCATTTAAAGAGATACATTTAAATTTTAAAATGTGTATCTTTCAGGAAAGAAAGAACTGACTTGGACATGGGATTGGAAGCAATCCATGGGGTGCAACAGTGATGTCAAGTGGCTGCACCGGGCCACGCTGAACCAGCAGATGCTCCTTGCTGGCCCTCAGAGCAGTGGTGGTCACTGAGGGGAGCTCTGCCATGGGGACAGCAGAGCCCGGAGCCACAATCTCTGCCTGACAGGTGGGGATAGGAATGGTCCAGCTTTGCAGAACCCACAAGGCAGAAATGTCACCGGCTGTGCCCCACAGCTGGAGAAAGCCCCACAAAGAAAGGTAGGCTTGGGACACAGAGAGCAGCTTGCTAAAGCCCAGCCCATGGCCCCACTGTCCTCGCTTCCCCTGCCCATCCACACCTCCACTCCCGCACCATGCCTCACTCCTCCATCTTTCCAGCTCTCGGCAATCTGACCTGCCTACCTCTATCCTGGGCTCAGTCTTCACCGTGAGCAGCTCCCAGAGCCCTGGCAATGGAAGACCTTCCTCCTTCTTGGGGTTGCCACGCAACAAACACAGCTCTGGGCCCAGAATGGACCGCCTTGCATGAACCACTGGGTGGTGACAGGATGTACACCCACAGCTCACAGGCCTTCCGAGAAGACAGCAGTTTCAAGCTATGTTGGTAACCCCCTTCCATCCCACCTCAGCCCCTGCGGCAGGTCTCCAGGAGAACAGAATGCTCATTTCAGGGACAGTTCATTGTGACAGCCCAGCAGAAATACTTGCCATTATGCCACCATACTGGGGCTCACTAATGTTAGACACTGGGGAAAAACTTAAATTCAAAAACATGAGTCTTCTGTACACCTTTTCTGTCCCTTAGATAGTCATCAGATGCATCCCAGTAGAAGGACATTGTCCTCCAGACCCTCAAGGTCACAGCAGACAAGGAATGCCCAAGCAGAGCCCAGAGCCTGTGACTAATGGTGGTACAGTGTCATGGATGGAATCCTGGAACAGTCCAAGGACACCGAACATGTGTGGACTTTAACTCAGGGTAATGCATGAATGGTGATTCATTAGTTACAACAAACATACTGTATTGAAGTGGGACGTTGTGTTAGTCAGCTTCCTGTTGCTGGGGGGAAATCTCTGACACACAATCTAAAGGAGGCAAGGGTTACTTTGGCTCATGGTTTCCAAGGTTTCAGCCGACGGTGGGCAGGTTCCATTGCTGTGAGCCTCAGGTGAGGCAGAACATCCCGCAGAAGAGCAGGGCGAAGTGCAGCTGCTCACCTCATGGCAGCCAGGAAGCAGAGATAAGGGAAGAGCCAGAAAGAGCCAGGTCCCAGAGACCCCCTTCAAAGGCAATGGCCTGCTTCCCCAGCTCTTTCATTAATTCTCTAATAGGTTAATCTAGTTGACGCCACAACCCAGTCGCCCCTCAGGACCCTTTGTGCATCAGGGATCCAGCACTCAGTAATATGACTTGTGGGAGCACTTCGTATTTAAGCCATAACAGGACCGGGGATTTAGCTCAGTGGTTCCACTGCCTGCCTTGCAAGCTCAAGGGCCCGAGATTGATCCCCAGTACCAAAGGAAAAAGAAAAAGCAAAGCAAAGCATATTTAAGCCTTAACAGACACACAAACACTGCCTTAGTTACTTTTGCTCTAGATGCTGAGACAGTTACTTGACCCCAGTTTGTAGAGGTTTCAGCCTATACTTGGCTGGCTCCAAGGTAGGGTGGCCTGGCAGAGGATGGAAAGCAGAGGACAGCAAAAACAAGAAAGCAAGGGACCTTGACAGCATCTTTCTGCCCCTTTTATACTCTAGGCTACTGGGATTAGGGCAGCATCAAGCCAGTTGGTGGGCTGGGTTAGTAATCACAGACCTTCCTTCCCAGCATTAGACACTCTAAATCCGGCCACCTCTGAAAAAGCCCCACCTATACCATGTACGGCATTGAGGAAACAGCTAGACCCAAACCATGACACATCAGTCATAAGGAAGTGGGGTCTGGAAGATACTCAAGCTCTCTGTACTGTATCAGCAGCTTTTCCATAAATCTAACCTGTTGTAACATTAAAAATTGATCAGAAAACAAAACAAAAATGGGGGGGGTAAGTGTCCCCCAAAGCTACTAGGCTGGCATAGAACAGAGCCACGGTTTGGACTCACCACGTCTTGGAGCACTGGAGCTGCGCTGTCCACTCTGGGGTTGATCAGACCAGGACACACCAGGAAGGAGACCAGCAGACCCAGCAGAGGAGCGGCTGGAGGTGCATCACTTCTACCAGGATTCACAGGAAAAAGCGGAATCAGGAGGCGAGAACGAGCCGGAAGAACAAGCCCTGTCCTCCTGCAGGACACTTGGCCTCGGGCAGCTCCGGCGCACCAGCCTCGTCCGTCTGGATGGAGCTACTTGCCTGGGACACCTCTGTCTTCCAGCAAGGCCCATGCTTTCTCTTGTCACAGCGCCACCCTGTGGCCACAGGGAGCTGCTTCCCTCCCCCCAGCAGGCCCACAGCCCGGCAGGAAGGAAGGCTGGGTCAGGCTGGGCGTTTGTACTGGGCTGTGGTTGGTCTTGGAGAACCAGCACCTGATTTCTGCCAATGCTTCACGGCACCTCTCCTCTCTAAGGAGCTCCCGGGCCCCATCATTTGATTTCCAAAGCAGTGAGGTAGAGGGCAAGCAGCACCTACGCCTATGGTCAGAGACTGCCTTCCTGACACGTCGACCACGGTTTACGTCAGCAGTTCTCTCCCGTCATCTGGTGTCTTGATGAGGTTCTGCTGAGTACTGCCGATGGCGAGGCAGGAGGAAGAAGCTTATCTCCAGCCACTGGACCCCTTCTCGGCCTTGAGGTAGTAGGGAGCCCTCTTGGCTGCCAAGCAAGCATTCCCACTCCTCTGGAGCTGACCCACGTACCAGGAACCAGTCCATCGAGCTGCTAGATTTTCCTGAACCTAAAGGGTCCTGGCCAGTGTGCTGACTGAAGGGCTCATCAGTATCTGAGGAGGAGACATGGTGACCTTGGCTGTGCCGGGTGAGGTCATCTGCGTGACGCCAAATGTGACAGCTGCAAACTGCACACGCATTTCCTTCCTGCACACAGTGAGTTCCCTCATCCTTCTGCTTTTGAGAACATGGCAACCTCAGGTGGAAAACCTGTTCCAGGAAGCCTTCGCCACAGAGAGCAGCACCTGGTGCTTTCCTTGTGATGAGAGCCCAACTACAAACGCAAAATCCAGGAAGAGCATTTCCAAAATGTAGATTCCTTGAAACAAAGGGCTCCTTGGCCATGCCGGTTTTCACTAAGTTGACAAAGTTCCTTTTGTGCAGGGTTTCCAAGAGACCGAGTGTACAAATTCGACTCTCAGGGAGGCAAATGGGCTTCTCTCATATGAACACAGAACAATTCTCTCCTTAAAAATAGAAAATTATGCTGGACCGTCTTCTTCCACCCCACGCCCAGGGGCTGGGGTACTAAAAGCTCTTTTTGTAGTCCACTCCTTCCTGAAGTCTTAATACAGCTCTAGATGCTTCCTTGCTGTAGCCTTACCTCCCACCAAGGCTTCGGGCAGGCCTGGGGAGGGGTGTGGCAGGCAGCAGTTGCCACCTCCTGCTCTTTGGGGACATCACATAGAGAACATCTTTTGTGCAAAGTTTGGGTTTTAGTGGTGAGCAAAAGCATCCTGTTGATGATTTCAAAGGCTTGCAAAAATTAAAAGCAGCTGCTCCCCATATAGTGTCTGGGCTGCTGGCTTTAGTGGATCTAAATATGTACCACGGTTCCTTAAGCTCACAGACATTTCACCTTGACACGGCAGTGTCAGGGGACAGGTGCCTCCAGCGGGCCGCTCTGCGCAAATATCCGTTCCTTAGGACCAAAGGAGCCATTTGGAAATGTCTCGTTTGAAGTCCCTCCTTTTGAAATATCTTTGAACTTGTTTCATCTCCTTTTACCTTTCAAGGAACTGCTACCTTCGCAAACTTTCAGAGACATCCTGATTTTTAGTTTGAATTCTTGGGGAATTTCTGGGACAACTTTTGCATATGGGTACTTTGTCTGGCACTTCTGCTACAGGTGCATTTTCATTCACGTGTCTTGCACGTCACTGGATTTGAAAGAAAATGAGAGCGTGGAGATTAAAAAGTAATGGGAAAGGAAATTGATGATTCTAGCTTGTGTGCATGCAATATAAAGAAAACAAAATTAAAATGCCAAAAGTATGACAGCATGCTTTCATCATATCAACACCAGGGATGGAAAGTTGGGTTTTCCTGATGCTGAGAGCTGGCTGAGGTGATGGACCTTACATCAGTTACCTGGTAGAGGCTCTGTGGACCACTCTTCCTTCTGTAGTCTCCACCCCAGCGGTGGCCTCTCTCAGCCAGCGTGGCTGCTGTGGTTTGCACACTGCTAGAGGGGCTTGGCTGAGTGGCACCCCGACTTCCATGTGCCTTCTCCTTGCACTCAGACATCTTCCTTTGTGGGTTTGCCCTTGGCCCCTGGGCACAGGCCGGGAGGCTGGCAGTCTGGTGCTACACCATTGTTTAACAGGGGTGCTGCTGAGGCATGAGAACTCAAGCTGGGAAATTTCATTGAGTCCTCTCTCTCCTCCACGTTTTAGCGTTTAACCAAAATGACACAAAACAGAGAAAAGAGTTAACCTGCTTTATGCCAGGTGCCCTGAGCCTCATGAGGTGCCTGATGCGGGCTCCTACACCTGGCCCCACCTGGGCACTCCACTCTGCTGCCTCCCCCACCTGGTTCCCCAGCCCCCATGCAATACAATAGCCCTGGCATCTTAGGCTGACCAGAGCTGTGTCCTAGGTTGGATATAGGCCAGGTTGGATGAGCCCTCTCTCCTGAGAAGGGACAGCTGGAATCTTTCTAGATGCCCAAAGGCAACTGATTTCCCTTCTCAGTGACAGGAGGGGAATTGTGTCCGAGACACAAACACCTGAAATTAGGCCTTTATTAGGAGGACGGAGTGTAGAGGACAGGGTGCAGGGATATCTTGGATAATGGCAAGAGCAGTAGGGAGAGGCTGCCTGGATAAGGTTTTATATGGGCCAGGGGCCCCTATAAGGAGGGGTACAGTGGAGGCAGGTGATTGGCTGCAGCCAGAGGTGAGGTTTAAATCCATTGGCAGATTTAAATTTCCCAGTGGGAAGGACGAGAAGTGGGAGAGATTTGCCGTGGGAAAGTTGGGTCTTTGTTTCCCAGAAGAAGCACTGAGGATGCGGGGTTAGGGCAATTTTATCTAGTGGGGAGCTCTGTCACCCAGGAGAGCAGCTGGCAGTGCCCTCCCCTCAGTGCCCAGGCAGCAACCACACGTGGGATGAGAGCTGCTGCTCTGGACTCCATTATGGAGAGGACATAGGACTGTGACTGACAGGTGCTCCACACCAGTGTGATCCAGTTTGAATCCTGACTCTTTTTCTCACCACTGTGGCCTTGGGTGAAGTACTTAACCTCGCCGGTCTTCAGTTTCCTCATCTGTAAAAGGCAGCTGGTGTTATCGTTTTATCTCAAATGCTTGTTTTGCAGATTAATGAGCTAAGAACAGTCCTTAGCCCACAGTCACTCAGTAAGTGTGAGCTCCTTAACTCTTACTCCTGTTACTGCTGGTGCTGTTCTTCTTACAAAATAGCATTTTAGTCTAGAGATGTAGCGGAACAGTCAAGTGGTGCTTGCCTAGCATGGGTGAGGCCCCTGGGTGTGATCGCCAGCACTGCAAATAAATAAATATACAAAATTTCGACAACATTTAAAAACTGAGTTGGATTTTACTAACAATTCATGAATCAGACAGCATCCCTTCCAAAGATTTGGGAAGGTGCTCACTTGGATGAGCTGAGCAGAGGAGGTAGGAGGAGGCAGGGAGAAAGCAGAAAGTAGGAACAGACAGCAGGCCTGTCCTTCCAAAGCTGCTGTGCTCACAGTACAGCAAGGACTTTCTAGTCAAGGGCAGGCAGACTGGGCCTCTAGGGACCGGTGCCGTGAATGTCCTGAGATTTGGAAAACTGGCCCATTCCCACGTGTCCCTTACTCATGCGGCACCTATCGGTTAACTGACGCCATGCGGTCAGGTCAGGTCTGTCAGGCCTCAGGCAGGAGCCCTGTCCAAACTGCGGGCCACCCCATCACTTCATGGGGCCCCAGCATTATCCCGGCAGGTGCACCTGGCACAGGCTGTGGCCCTTGGCTTTACCGATCAAACACTAATCCTTCTCCCAGCAGCAAACTCACATAAGCTGGGCTTCCACAGCCGCCACGACACCACACGTGGGGTCTCTGACCCGGTGATCACAGAAATTAAAAACAAGGCCACGAAGTGTGAGGACTCAAGCAAAGCTCAATTGAAAAGGAAGAGAGGGGAAGGGACTTCAGCTTGAGATGAAGAGAGAAACCCAGAGGAGCAAGCTTTTGCTTCCCCTGCAGAGATTGCAGGCAGGATAGGGCTTTGTCATTGGTTCTCAGCACATACTTGAAGGATATCTTCCTTCTTGTGCCTGGAGGAACAGGAGTATCCCAGGAACAGTTTACCCCAGGAGCTCTCCAGCCCTCCCAACCCACCTGCTACACTGAGACAGACACACTTCCTTTCTGCACAGGGGCGCCCTCAACCAGCATAAATATCTGGCCATGTAATAAGGAAAGACAACTGTAGCTACTAAGAGAAAACCTGGATGAGGGTGAGAGGAAACACGCACCATCCTGCCATTTAGGAGGTCTCAGGGTGTGGGGAAAAACATATAAGATACTTTTAAAGGGCCCTGCATTAGGACCCCAGGAAGGTACCTGCCCTTTGTCCTCATGGTGGTCCCTGACTCTCAGATGCATAAAACCCAAACACCCACGTTTTAACTTAGAATCACTGAGAGCCATAGTTTTGTGTCAAGAACCCAGACTCTGGAGTCAATCTCCCTGGATTCGAGTCCTCGTGTTGCCCCTTGTTAGCTGTGGATTGGAGTGAGTGACAAAGCCCTGTAAAAGGTGACCTTGATTCTGGAACATGAGTGAACTTACCTGGCAGGACTGAGCAGGACTGACACAAGGTAATGCACCAGAGGGCTTCACAGGGAGGAAAACCTGTCCTTGCCTGACCAAGCCCTTCAATCACCAGGGCCATAGGGAACCAGCTCAGATTCAGAGTCACGGTTTGATTTTAAAATGAGAAGTTCACACTGAGTTAACATCGCTATGGTTCCTGCATTATCTGCAGCAGACAGACCAGTGTGGGGCCTCACAGATAATCACAAACAGCCTGGAGCCTACCAGGGGCCAGGAAGACTTAGGGGGAGTCAGGGATAGATGCTTAGTGTCATGGCTAAGAAGCAACAGCCTTGCCTGACAGGCTTTGCGGATCTGGCCCAGTACAATAGTCAAAGCTCTTCCACCCCCAGAGGCTTGGAGCCTCTCTCCTCAGAGTCTTTGCCAGTGGGATTCCTGCAGGCTCAGCTTCCTTGACAGAACAGACCTTCTTTGAATGACACAGCCTCGCCATAGATATGCTAATCGATGGCTCAGTGGCTTAGCCTCTGTTGTCTCAGGAATTTGGAGTTGATCCATTCCTTAAAGTCCAGAAGATGCAGGTAAGGAAGGATCCCTCAATTTGGACTCCACCACTTCACACCTGAACACTTAGGCTGGGTACCGAGGGTCTCTGAGTCCTAAGGCTGCATGTGTAGCTCAGCGTCATTTTTAGAAATGGCATTTTGTGTCTGCACGGACAACAGCAGCTGCAGTCCTGGTGCAAAGCACTTCCATAGAGCATCTCCCTCAACACAAAAGTAAGTCCATGCAGAATACTACTCAGCAGTGCACGGGAATGAACTATGGACGAATGCAAAAGCTTGAGGAAGAAGTGGGCTGTCAAGACATTACACTGAGTGCAACAAGCCCATCTCAAAAGGCTACCCAGTTTCTGATCACACATGTTAATACACATAATGATACTTAGGGGGCCAGGGGAAAGTGTGTACTTTGATGCTGTCGGATGAGTCTTACGGGAGAAGTGGACAGTTGTAGAGAAACATGATTGGATACAAAGGGATGTGGTCCAGCCGGCAAGCTCAGGGCAACCTCAGAGCAGCCAATTTTGGGTATTCTGTTCTTCATCTCTCTAAGGCAATCCTTTCCCCAGGTTATCTGCCTCAACACCTGTCATATGAGGATTCTCAGGGCAGAGGAAGGAGGTCAGAGAGTAACCAAGTTAGATTTTAAGGCTTCCTCTTGAAGAGAGGTATTCT